GACACGCTTTGCCTTAAGGACTAAGGTAATTCAGATTACTAGCATTCACCTCAAGCTATGGTTTTAAAGCCTCAGCAAATTCAGTGAGCATTTTATAAAATGACACTAATGACAGAGAAAAATAAATTCCCCCAATTTTTGAAGAATCTCCAGATAAACTGCTAAGTGCCAGTATTATACTATACGATACATTAAGTGCACACTGAATTCTATTGAAATACAAACTTCTAAACCATGAAGTCACACAATTTGCTAATTAAAAAATTCAAATATATGACCGAAATATTATCAAATAATCTGATTTATAGGCATTCTGTTCCAATTAAATCAATATTCTAAAGCAAGAAAAAAAGCCATTTTCAAATAGAATTCAAATATGATAAAGGATTTGCTTCAATAAATATTCTGAGCTTAATTGGCTTAAATGGAACCAGGTGCTTCTATCCATAAAAAAGTCTAGGATGACATGACCACATCCTTGAGCTGTTTATTTAGTCCCTGTCTGGAGCCTGATTTACAGGCGATAAAATGCAATCAGGACCCACACCAGAAGCAGGAATCATCTGCTAATGGAACTTTTAATTGAGAAGTGACCAGTGACGTGAGGTAATTCTCCCCAGGCAGGATCGCTCCTGAAGACCTCTTTGCACTTTGTCACAGCAAACAATCACTAACATATGCATTAAAGAAAATTTAAATACATTACGATCCAATAAATATCATAATCAATCAATATACAATCTTCTTCTCTTAAGGATTAATGTTCAGGTACCAGACTATTAGTGCTATACTATTACACTTACTTAGATCTGAACAATTTTTAGCATGTTGGTACAAACTTTGACCATTTGTAATCAGATGATAATCACGTATGTTTTAGAAACTAGTACCCCCTAAGGAATATCCATACAGAAAATAATGTAAGGAAAGTCTTAAGTACATGAAATTAAGTTAACCACCATCTTCACATAACTATAGTTTTGTTAGTTTTTTCTAAACTTCATTATTTGAAACAGGTTTACTGAGATATAACTGACATAAATTTCATTTGTGGGAGGGAAAGGTTTAGATCACACATTCTCCTCCCTAGAACCTGGTAAAATATATACATCTTCCAAAGGAGAGGAGTAAGAGCAATCTATTACCCCTCCTGAATCTATAGTACTGTACAAGGAGACATGATCTCCAGAATAATTTCAATTATAAGCAGTATGTCAATAAATAGAGGGAAAAAATGAGTTTATTCTCACTAGGTTTGCATAACTATCAGTTTCTACATTTATTAAGATTGGATGATTTAAACCTTCAGGAAGAAAAAGTAATATACAATTTTAATAAGCTTTAATTCATGCAGATAATGCTCTATCTTCTGTTACTGAATTGTGTAGAAACCACGATAAATAAAAAATAAAGCGAAAGAAAGGCTCACCTTTATTTTTATTTATTATTATTAATTTAGAAGGTTCTTGGGCTTCCCTCATTGGAAAGAGCTACGGAACATCATTTTAAAGATTTTCATGCAAGGAGTTATGAAATTTACATCCTCCAGAGGAAGCTGAAGCTGAGATTCAATAAGCGGTCTGTGGCTGCCAATAAGGAGAGATGTCATTTCACTGAGAACTGACACCAAAGCCAGTGCACAGCTCCAAACTGGGAGAGAGATGCTACATGTGTTAAAATTAATTAAAGCGAGAAAATGATCTGTTTAAAATCTATGCTAAAGAATCTAACGTCAGATCAATGTCTGAAGTTTGTTACTGCAATAAGGTGAGCCTACAGATGAAGATACACACCGCTAGCATAGTGAGGTCAAGTTTGTACCCATCACGAAACTTGAAGAACACTTAAAATCTACATTATCAAAGTAGCAACATTTGGAACCGGAACAAATAAATAATAACTGGTCTTACAACATGCATCTCTAAGAGACACAAATAAAAAGGAATTATCTGTTAGGCCTGGGGTCATATACCCATTTGCTATTAATAAATACATACACACATACGTTACTACAAAGCTACAGTCATCAAGACAGTATTGCACTGGCATTAGGCCAGACACAGAGATCAATGGAATAGAATTCAGAGTCCAGAAATAAGCTGGCACATTTATGGCCAACTAATTTTTAACAAAAGTGCCAAGAACATCAGGCTGCCTATCTCATAAAATATACAAAAATTAACTCAAAATGGACCAAAAACCTAAATGTAAAACTGCAAAACTGTTAGAAGCTGTAAATCCTCATGATCTTAAATTAGGCAATGGTTTCTTAGACACCAAAAAGCACAGGCAACAAAAGAAAAAAATAAATACACCAGAGTTCATCAAAATTAAAAACTTTCTGATAGTATGACCTTGCTAATAAACTATCTAATGGAGAAAAACTAACAAAAAGAAAGAGGAACAAACTCACAGCACATAACAGCAAAACTCATTATTCTCCAAGAGTTTTGTTTTAACAGCACTTGAAGAGTTCTCAAGCAGACACCAGGGGTGTGAGCTCAGCTCTCCCCAGCCCACATTCCAAGGACTGGGAAAAGCCAGCCTCGCCGAGGGGGGAAAAAAAAAAAGAAAAAAGGGAAAAACTGATGCAGCTGTTTTCTGCTATCAGCTGGCAATAATCACTTTTTTCTTCCTTCACCCCCATAAAAATCCCTAGCCCCCTAGCCTTGGCGGCACTTCTCCTTTTTTCTTCGGTGCCATGCCCTTCCCCCTTGGGAAGTAAAAGAAACTAACTTTCTTTAAAACTATTCTAATCTTTGTGTTGAGAATTCCTTCCCAGAGTCCCCATCCTAAAACCTTTGTTCTTCAAAGGAGACACCGTCATGAAAGTGAAAAGATAACCCACAGAAAAGGAAGAAAATATTGGCAAATCGTTTATCTGACAGGGGCTTGAATCTGAAATATATAAAGGACTTAATAACAAAAGACAAACAATCCAATTAAAAACTGGGCAATAAACTTGAATAGACATTTCAGGAAGACATGAAACACATTAAGGATGCTCAACATTACCATGCAAATCAGAACCACAGTAAGATACTGATTCTTGCCCCAAGAATGGCAGTGACAAAGACAGAGGAAGCGTCTGCAAGGACGTGGAGCGACTGGAGCCTTCGCAGACGGCTGGTGGGATCACAGGAGGCTGTGAACGCCCCGACACGGAGTGCGCAACCACCCAGGACTCCCACTCGCGTGCGTGCCCACAGCAGCATCACGCATAACAGCCGGAAGGTGGGAACGACCCAAATGTCCATTGACGGATGAAGAGATGAACAAAATGCGGTATATCCACACAATAAAATATTATTCAGCCATTAAAAGGATTGAAATTCTGATACATTCTACAATGGAGATGAAACTAGAAAACATTACACCAATCAAAGCCAGTCACAAAGGCCACATGGTATAGGATTCCATTTATATGAAATATCCAGCAAAATAAAATCCACAGAGACAGTAGATCAGTGGTAGCCTAAGGCTGGTGGAACTGAGGCAGAATGGGGACTGTCTGCTACGGAATATGGGGTTTCCCTTTTAGGATTATGAAATTGCTCTGAAATTAGATATTGGTGATGGTGGCAAAGCTCCGTAAATATATTAAAATCCAATGAATTGCAAACTTTAAAGGCTGAATTTTTATTCAATAAACCTGTTATGTAAACAACAAAAAAAGTCACAAGACTGTAATCTGTTTTGCGGGCACCGACTTGTAACTGAGCTGCTTATCAAGCGGGCAGCTCCATGTATTGGGCCCCACGGTGGATGGTGGCAGGACTCTTTAATATGGACCTCAGAGAACAGGACCACCAACGTGGTAAGGGAATCTTATTGCAAGCTTGAAAAAAATTATTTATTAAGGATGATAAAGCTGGTTAATAATAATCCCTGAATACTGGGCTTTATGCATAAAATGCATTCAATTTACCACTTGGGCTCAATGTCACTACGGCAGGTATAACTGTGTCCCCCAAAACATAAATTCAAATCCTAATCTGTGAATATGACCTTCTTTGGAAATAGGGTCTCTGCAATCGAGTTAAGATGAGGTCCTACGCACTAGGGGGGCCCCAGACCCAGTGACTGCCACTCTTAAAAGAAGAGGAAAAGCCAGACACAGACACACCGGGAGAGGCCGTGTGAGGACGGGGCAGAGATGGACAGAGGAATCTACAAGCCAAAGAAGGCCAAGGACTGCTGGCAAGACCAGAAGATGAGAGGCAGGAACAGATTCTCTCCAAGATCCTCTAAAAAGGAACCGACCCTGCTGACGCCTTGGTTTTGGACTTCCGGCCTCCAGCACTGTGAGAGAATGAATTTCTGTTTGGTTAAGCCACCCAAGTCTGTGGTAATTTGTTGCAGCTATCCTGGCAAACTAACAGTCACTAAGTAGTAACCTACTGTCTTAGTCCATTTTCTGTTGCTTATAGCATTAACAGAACATCTGGAACTGGGTAACTTGTAAGAAGCAAGCTTTGCATCCGAGGGTGCTGGCGGCTGGGAAGTCCAGGCTGTGGGCTTCCTCTGGTGAGGCCTTCTCACTGGTGGGAACTCTCTGCAGGGTCCCAAGGCAGCTTAGGCACCGCTCAGCCAGGGGGCTGAATGAGCCACCTGTTGGCGCAGGTCTCTCTTTCTCTTCTTATAAAGCACCAGTTCCCCTCCCATCATGACTCCTCAGAACTGCCACATTGGGGGTTCAGTTTCAACATGAGTTTTGGCGGGGGACATTCAAACCATAGAACTTACGGCTTGCTCTTCCTGGTTCTTCCCGGAGTTGGGAAAAGATGGGTTGCGAGGGCAGAAAAAGAAAAAACAAAAAAACCAAAAAAACCCAACAGAACTTATAACCATAAAAATCTCTACTTAGTACTATGGTTTTCGAACATTTAGCATCCGAATTTCTGAAAAAATTTTGTGGCAAACAGAAAACACCCATACAGAGACATAAGATGCCAACATCTTTTGGTCTTAAATCTATTTTTATATAAAGATTACTTTACCTTTCCAAGCATTCTGCCTAGGAAGTAGTAATGTCTGGCAAAAGAATCTCCCACAAGCATCTGAGCAGCCGGGTTGGGGTACAGAAGCCCTTCATTAGTAGTCTTAAAGAAACCCTGGTTGGGGTTAAATCCTGATTTCAGTAGTTCATTTAAAAATTCTCTGAAAATACCACCACCATCAATGCCAGCTTCATCCAGGCCATGGGCATTGAGCAGGTGCACACGGATCCGCTTTTTCAAATCAGGCTCTGTTTAAAAAGAGGGAAGGGTGAGGAGAAAAGATGTTAAAAGACAGCAATAAGATAAACAGTTATTACAGGAAGTCTTGGGAGTGGGAATATTAGGGATGTTTCAACGCAGGACTCAAAATACCAATGATATTAAAGAGACAGGCTGGGCGCGGTGGCTCACGCCTATAATCCCAGCACTCTGGGAGGCCGAGGCGGGAGAATCACTTGAGCTCAGGAGTTCGAGACCAGCCTGAGCAAGAGCAAGACCCTGTTTCTACAAAAAGTAGAAAAATTAGCTGGGCATGGTGGCGTATGCCTGTAGTCCCAGCTATTTGGGAGGCTGAGGCAGGAGGATCGCTTGAGCCCAGGAGTTTGAGGTTGCTGTGAGCTAGGCTGGTGCCATGGCACTCTAGCCCAGGTGACAAAGACTCCGTCTCAAAAAAAAAAGAGACAACAAGACTGACCAATATTTTCCCCAGAGTTTACACAGCAAAAAATAGGAAAAGAAAATGGATCTGAGAGAAAAGAGGAATGTTTATGAAAAAATAAAATTATCCCCCATATTCTAAAGGATATGACAGAGTAAAATGCTTGCAGAGGAAGGGAGTGGAATTAAGGACACTGGGTAATACTGGAACAGACTGTCATCACCAAGAAAAATAATAAAGATGTTGGTTAGGTGAACACGAGAGAGACTCTCTGAATGGGGTCACTGATACAGGAACTCTCAGCACTCCAGAATCTACATGAGTTTTAAAAGCTATATGTGGCTGGAAGAAAGGAGAAAATTACTTATTATAAAATTTGCTACAAAGAATAAATTTAAA